TGGCTGATTCAACCAGATTTCACCTTTACATCGTTTGCTTTTCACAGTTTTCACTCAAATACTATGAAGAAAGAATCCGCTACAAAAAGGTGAGGTAGGAATAAGCAAGACCGGCGAACAGACATTAACAGCCTTGTACCGCGCACTAGTACTAAGTTAGGATCAGTCGTCTCAGTTTCGCGGCGCCCGTGGCTTAAGAGTTGCAAGTCCGACTAATAATTCCAACGTACTGTGATCGAAACCCACTGCTGGCTGCGTGGATTGTTTTCATGGTATGGGGCGTCGCAGCCCTAATTAAATGGGTACCAGGATGTATGTCCTGGGAAAGTAAAGACGTCCTGCGGAAAGTCGACCACATTACCCATTAGTCTGTAAAAAAAAAAAATATGGGTGCTCTCGTCATATCCCCGTTGCGCCTAAGGGGCGTGAAAAGCGATCTTTGCTTACTTTCTCGGGTTTATCTGAACCCTAGTTACTGGCTGCGTAAAAAAAAAAAAAAACAGCCTCCACTATAAGCTACAGATCTGTAATGTCTGTGAAACTTCCCACAAGAGGACGACTACTACAGGTGCCACCCGCGACACCGCCCTGTCTAGGTGAACCGCACCCCGTCCAGACCCGTGAATTCTCCTCCTGTGTGTGGTGTTCATCTATCCATCGAAGGCGGGGAAATGACGAACAAAGGATCAGTGTTGCGGACAGACCGGCTATTGTTCTCAGGTCTGTGGGGAAATTGATATCGCCAGCTTCATGTTTACTTTAGCGTAACGGTGTAGGCCGCCGGGGAGAGTCTACTGATTATATAATATTCGCTGACGAAGATGTGATGGAGACAAAGAATTGCCAGGGCAGCATCAAAAGTGTCATAATTTGATACAGGAGTGGCAAAGAGGTGCCATCTGTCTCGATACAGGAGAGGCAAAGAGGTGCCATCAGTTTCGATACAAGAGTGGCAAAGAGGTGCCATCTGTCTCGACACAGGCATGGCAAAGAGGTGCCATCAGTCTCGATACAAGAGTGGCAAAGAGGTGCCATCTGTCTCGACACAGGCATGGCAAAGAGGTGCCATCAGTCTCGATACAAGAGTGGCAAAGAGGTGCCATCTGTCTGGATACAAGAGTGGCAAAGAGGTGCCATCTGTCTCGACACAGGCATGGCAAAGAGGTGCCATCAGTCTCGATACAAGAGTGGCAAAGAGGTGCCATCTGTCTGGATACAAGAGTGGCAAAGAGGTGCCATCTGTCTCGATACAGGAGTGGCAAAGAGGTGCCATCTGTCTCGATACGGCATGGCAAAGAGGTGCCATCTGTCTCGATACAAGAGTGGCAAAGAGGTGCCATCTGTCTCGATACAGGAGTGGCAAAGAGGTGCCATCTGTCTGGAAGAGTGAATAGGAAAAGGGTTGAAATGGCCAGGCAGACGGGCACGAGTGTCATCCTACACATTCATACAACACACACAGATACACACACGCCAAGAGACATGAAGATAGGCGTGGGGTGAGGGGGGGGGGCAGAATCTCAAAACAGCTAATTTTAGGCACTGGAGAAGATTCCTCTAACTAAAGGTAGATTCCTCTAACTAAAAGTAGATCCCTCCATCTCGAAGCAGATGCCTTGGAGTCAGGCACCTTGCCCTTGCCCCCCCCCCCTTCCCCGCACCACCACATTTAGGGAATGCTGAGCCCTCAAGGTTAGGGAAATGTGCAAGACCGGCAAATGGTCTCACTCCAACCCTTAGTTACCTCTAGCAACAAGCATAGTCAGTGACAGTGTTTTTATTCTGTGCTTGCCTTGCACATGCCTAACTGTACAGCTGCTAAGTTGAATACGAAGTATTTCGAAGCTGCTATTTTCTGCTGACATGGCTGTATACTATTTATTTAACACATCTCATACATCCATAGACAAATGCACCAGCAGTCTCTATGATGTCACATCTTTACTTTTTATTCATGTGCATTTAACTATTTTTTTTTAAAGCAAAAAGAACATAAAGGGGGAGATAACCAATATATGTCTTCTGGTTTACAGGGCGTTCTCTTTTACATGCCCTTGAACGAACATTTCCGTGAGGTTTTCATCCTTGTTTGAAAGGTCTGCGACATTGAGTTAGAATTTACTGACAATAATATACCCCAAACGTAAGGTGTGGTGTGTATGTGTGTGTGTGGGGAGGTTGAAACGCATTAACTCAAATCTAGGCTCTTTTCTTTCATTTCACCCAATCTCGGGACCTCCGAGATGCCGTGATGAATTCCTGGGAAAGTCCAACATTGTGAGTGGGGGGGGGGGGGGGGGGGGGGGGGGGAGGGGAGAGAAGAGAGAAGGGTTATGGTAAGTCGGTCTTTTTTCATACCCTAACAACACCTATACTATTGTATCTTCCCCGAAATTCCACATGAAATCTTGAATGCCCAGAAATAGGTTAAAATGAAAGAAAAGAAAGCAGATCTAATACCAGTGTGTCTGCAATCATGAGTAGGGTGCTTCTTTACCTTTCCACAGACCAAGTTTATTGTTAGTGGATATTGAGAGGATTGCCTTTCATTTCACCAAGTCTGAAACTATATGGCTCAGTCTCTCTCTGCAGAGTGGCTAGCCACCTGCAAAGAAAGCCACCAGATGTCTACTTCTAATTCTGGGGCAGCTTATGTAAAGAAGGCAGACAGTAAGAAGGTGAACTGGCCAAAACATCTCATTATCTCATGGTTGAGAACATGTGCAGACCTGACTTATGATATTCCAACCAAGTATTTGTTGTAGGAGAATATTACTGTTGAAGTCATGGTTTCACTGTCCAAGGGTCACGATCTCAAACATGGGTCATAAAAAGTTTTCAATGCAGCCACCAGGCAGTGGTTAGATATAAAAACTTTAAAAACGAAAATAATTTTTTTTTTTCAAAATCACACTGATATACAGTAAAATCCACTGTCAAAGTATTCATTGAAAAGAAAAGGCCAACTGAGGAATGATATCAGGAGGTCAGTCGATACAGAACCAATGCTGAACAATAAATCAAATGGTTTGGCCATGTAACAAGACTGGAAACAGACAGGGAACCACAGAGAGAAATGTTATACAGATACAACAGTTACAGATTCAGAGGTCGACCATGCAGAATATGGACTGCAAGAAACATCGGAAACACTAAAAATTACTATGTAAAAAGCAAACACACAGGCCCAGTTCCAGGGATCTCTTCCTGCCCTAATGCTGCAAGGCATTCAATGGGTAAAGAAAAAAAGGAAGATTCGTCTAATCTAACTATGTGTAATGTATGCTGTCGCGGGTCACACTGCCTCTAAAAATGGGGTCACACCTTAAAAAAAAGGGGAGCTGGGAATCACTGGTTTATTAATATAAACAGTTTAACAATACCTGAGAACTGTTAACTAAACTTTTACAATCTAAGTTTCCACATCCTGGTTAAGTTTATCATATTTTCCTATGCAAATCAGAATCTCTTGAAAGCTATGAGTGGACAAGCCAAACACGACATTAATAGTTACATAGTTTATGAAGCCAGAAAATGGAGGAACTGCAAGTATGTCAAAGCCAGAAAGCTGAGGAACTGCAAGTATGTCAAAGCCAGAAAGTAGAGGAACTGCAAGTATGTCAAAGCCAGAAAGCTGAGGAACTGCAAGTATGTCAAAGCCAGAAAGTAGAGGAACTGCAAGTATGTCGAAGCCAGAAAGTAGAGGAACTGCAAGTATGTCAAAGCCAGAAAGTAGAGGAACTGCAAGTACGTCAAAGCCAAAAAGTAGAGGAACTGCAAGTATGTCAAAGCCAGAAAGTAGAGGAACTGCAAGTATGTCAAAGCCAGAAAGTAGAGGAACTGCAAGTATGTCAAAGCCAGAAAGTAGAGGAACTGCAAGTATGTCAAAGCCAGAAAACTGAAGAACTGCAATTATGGCATGTAGAGAATTTAAGTGTTCAGTTCAGGGCTGTAGGACAGTGTCCCAGTTGGTCTGCCAGGAACAACTTAAAGAGGTCAATGATATCCTTTACAAACAAAATGAAACTTTAGAATACAATCCTTTCTGTGATGAATTTTCTTTTTCTTCTTCTTCTTGTCTTCTTCCTCTCACTGTTGGTCTGTGCCAGCTGTAAACCGCTGGGGACGGTTCTTGATATATTTTGGTCCTGTTCTAGGACTTAAGTTTTGACTACACATTCATTGTATGGGTCTGGCTTATTTGTATGCAAACTGTTGGTTCCTTGCTTCCCACACAAACACATTCCAACTGTGAAGGAAACAAGCCACAATGAATCATCTTTCCTGACATGTTCGGAGGGGCAGTTAATCAATCAACCAGTCAGGAATGCCTCCACAATGAAGGCTGGCTGCATCATATTCCACACTCTCCACTTGACAGTACTCCCTGAGGCTCCATTATGAGTGGGGGAAGTGAGGGGAATAGACCTAACACCTTCCTAACAAGTATGTCATAGCAGCTGACAAATTAGGGGCGTTGCCTTTGCATCAGTCTGAGAGGCGAGGAACTAACAGGCTGCATACAAATAAGCCAGATAAGTAAAATGGAAATGCAGGCAAAACTCAAGTTCTGGAACAAGACTAAAAGTCCAGAAGTGGACAAACAATTTGAACTTTCTGCCGGAGTTTACAACTGGAGAACAAAAACAAAGAAAGAAAGGGGGGGGGAGGGGTTGTGTGTTGGTAGCACTCTGTTTCAGACTGATGTTCGTCCATCTCTTAATATCTGTCCTCCCACTTATACCTTGCTTGCTTGCACCTCCTGTTTAATTTTTTGAAAAAGAAAGTTGTCTTTTAGCATGGCTGAAATATTTAAATTGCTGCTTTCTTCATTTCTTACACTAACCTCCTTTTCCAAAACAACAAGAAAAGCATATGAGGTAGGAAAACAAAAGTTCAAGCAGATTAGAATGGAAAAGACTGCCACATCCCGGATAAATAACATCTGAGTGTTTGGATACACCAAAACAGATAAAGTAGTACAGGCTTATGATACTTACATCCGGTATCCTTGAGCTGCTGTATGGTGTTGGACATGATCTTGACACAGCCCAGGAATCCTGCTCCCTGTTTCTTGTGAATCTTCTTGTGGTTCCACACACTGATGGTGATGGAATCTTTAGGGCCCACGTACCTGATTGACAGTAATCACACGTCATTGTAAACATAGCAATAATCATACAGAACAAAGGCTAAGATTTGTAGACAATAAGTTAGCTAAAGGCAATCTTGGCCAAACAGTTTATTTAGAATGCTGGAGTGTCACGCAGAATGGCCCTGATTTAAGCCCTTGGTAAGGTCATGGATTTCTTTTATTAGAGGGGCAAAACTAAACATCCTAACCTGCACAGTTCATGGCATCAGCACCAGCAATGTGGCCCTAAATTCTCAGGCTCAAAGCACCCTTCCCCCTCCCACCCCACACTGCAGAAGTAGCATATACAGACAGTAACTGGCAACTAGAAATAATGGGCAATCTTTCAGCTGTGTTGTGCTGGATCAATTAATACAGAAAAGTCAACAAACACATTGTCTAGAGAAAGCAAACCTACACAAGGGTAGAGAGAACCTGTTGTCATTGTCTAGAGAAAGCAAACCTACCCAAGGGTAGAGAGAACCTGTTACCTTTTTCTATAGAAAGCCAACCTACCCAAGGGTAGAGAGAACCTGTTACCTTTGTCTAGAGAAAGCAAACCTACACAAGGGTAGAGAGAACCTGTTACCTTTGTCTAGAGAAAGCAAACCTACCCAAGTGTAGAGAGAACCTGTTACCTTTTTCTAGAGAAAGAAAACCTACCCAATGGTAGAGAGAACCTGTTACCTGTGTCTAGAGAAAGAAAACCTACCCAAGGGTAGAGAGAACCTGTTACCTTTGTCTAGAGAAAGAAAACCTACCTAAGGGTAGAGAGAACCTGTTACCTTTGTCTAGAGAAAGCAAACCTACCCAAGAGTAAAGAGAACCTGTTACCTTAGTCTAGAGAAAGCTTACCTATCCAAGGGTAGAGAGAACCTGTTGTCATTGTCTAGAGAAGGCAAACCTACCCAAGGGTAGAGAGAACATGTTGCCATTGTCTAAAGAAGGCAAACCTACCCAAGGGTAGAGAGAACATGTTACCTTTGTCTAGAGAAAGAAAACCTACCTAAGGGTAGAGAGAACCTGTTACCTTTGTCTAGAGAAAGAAAATCTGCACAAGTGTATAGAGAGCCTGTTACCTTTGTCCAGAGAAAGCAAACCTACCCAAGAGTAAAGAGAACCTGTTACCTTAGTCTAGAGAAAGCTTACCTATCCAAGGGTAGAGAGAACCTGTTGTCATTGTCTAGAGAAGGCAAACCTACCCAAGGGTAGAGAGAACATGCTGCCATTGTCTAAAGAAGGCAAACCTACCCACGGTTAGAGAGAACCTTTTACCTTTGTCTAGAAAAAGCAAATCTACCCAAGGGTAGAGAGAACATGTTTCCGTTGTCTCTTAGATGCAGAACTAGGCGTGAAAAAAAGGAAAGAAAAAGATGAAAACATTTTATCAATCCACTATTTTAGGGCTAATCTGATTATTTCATTTCCACTGTGTTTAAGTGCCTAAGTTCTCTGGGGTACTGTCAAGTGTAATCTTCTCACATGGCCATGTTATCCGATTTTCCATTTTTAATGCATGAAACTCACACTGGTAAGTTTTTCTTCTACCATCAATTATAATCTTTTTTTTTTTATTATATTAAATTTACAGAAAAAAATGTAATTTATGGTGATTTAGTTTCTCTTCTTCTCTGTTACAACGTGTGCACGTCCAACTGTAGTAGCGAAAGAGTGAACAAAATTGTTTAACTGGGCTCCTTCTTTGCCAGCTGTAACAGGTTTTTTCAGCCACAACAAAAATGGTTGCCTTGTTATTGTAAAATCACCACCACCATCACCACGGTAACCATCAGCTTCTTCTGCTGCTTCTGCTGAAACAGGTAAACACAAATATGCATCACAATATAAGAGCAACTTACAGGTCATAGTGCTGGTTCCACTTGGGGTCTAGTGTGTTCTTGCAAACATCTGTAGAATGGCACTGACCAGATCCGTCAACTGTGATCTTGGCAAATGGATCAGGCAAACCTGCAATACACAAGACTGTCTGATCAGTCAGTTCCTTAGGACATGATGAGGGGTGATTCAGCAGCACGACGTAAATAGAACACTTGCACAATTCTACAGAACAATATGACAGAAGGCATGCACTTTGAATTTTTTTTTTTAAACATGCTAAAAAAAACTGCTCTGGTAGACAAAGATATCTTTCTATGTGTCAAAAATGTGTTTCTTGTCCCAGTATCAGGCTTATGCTTATGGTACAGTTTACAAACCAGACTCAAGAAATACTGACAAGGGTACCTAATGTTACTGACAATCAAAAGCATCAGACAAAAATAGAAAAATAGTAAAAACATTGCATATGTATGACCTAAGGGAAAATGTAAACATTTTAAGACCAAGTGATCAGTATTGCCACTTCCCCCATTAGGCGTCACAAGGAGAGATAGTCCAGGGTTTAATGGGCAACATAGCCACTGTCATTCCATGAGGGTGTAAAGTTAACTTAATTAATGTCATCAATCCATATTCTCCTTGGACACTGTCCTACTCTCACATCAGGTTTTTTTTAATCTAATGTCTGTGGGGTTGTTGTCGAGGCAGCATTCTAATGAGATGACCAAACATGTGATTTTATGCTCCTCAATGAATTTAATTCAAGATGCTGTTGACCATGTCGGCTCTGTGGCTAAGTCGATGCGAACGCTTCGTAATGCCAGGGTGCCGGGTTCGATCCGACAGTGGTATTAGGGAGCCGAACGTCAAGAAAGCAATGGCAAACTACTGGACGTAAATTTGCCTAGAGAAACCACACAACAGCCAGGGGCTGCTGGGATTGGTTCTGCAACGTCCTGTAAAAGGATACACGCAACGCTGTTGCCATAATCAGATAGTATCACATTGCACTGAGTCGGGATGGTTATACTGGTGTCTTTCATCTCATCTCACAGACGTTTATGTTACATAACTCAGCTTTTTATACCATCCAAGTCTGGCACTGCTTGTACAGTACTGTTACAGACATGCTGTTTATAATGTTTCCTGGAGGTAATCAATATGTTCAAATGTTTTAATTATGGGGGTCAGTTGGTTTGTAAGTGCACCGCTCTTTGGCATCTGACACTCCCTATCATGCTTCTATTTGCAAATTTATTCTGCCATCATTCAAGGATATACTTCTTCGATATTTTAACTGTATAGATTGCTTCACGTAGACACTATTCAACTCTATATGCAGAAAATAGTCGGATGTAAATGGTTAGAAAAAAAAAACAGTTTGTCAAGCAGATGAATACAGCTTGAGGAACAACAAAAAAGCTCTATAAAAGTATATAACAGAACAATAGAAAGAACCTAACCACAACAATCAAGTTGTGACAGAAAATGATTACCATGTACACAATTTCTGCTGACAAGCTGTGTGTTGTTACTTTGCCTAAACTTGATGCATTATTGTTCAGTGCAAAAACATGGACAATGGCTTATGAATATGAGGATCAAATGCAGGCTATCAAATCTGAACATCAAATATAAGCTTTCAAAACAAGGATCAACAGAGACCTACCATGGCAGGAGAAGACAGCAAACACAAAGGTTATAGAACACCTGAGACTGCTGTCAACAGTCTATGAGATCAAAGTGTGACAATGGGCTACTTCAACTAAAGAGCCATCTCCTCGTTACAGGATTTAAACAAGACCCTTTTAAACACCAGTGGCACTCCAGTCATATGATGCCAGAATCATACTTAAATAGACCAAATGGCTTTCAATGAGAGATATGCTAAAAATCAGGCTAATTGTCGTTACTTCTTTGTCCCCATTTTAGGCTGGGTCGACCAGGGATCGGCCAAGCATGTCGATGGAAAAGTCCGAAAAAGAACACAAATGGGAGACAATATTATACCAACATTTTCCCTGTACAGTACAACATCATTATCATCAGGTACCTTGGTTACAAGCGTGAGTGATTATACTTTTCCAGATCGTGATATGTCCAACAGCTTGTTTCAGGGCATGTACTGACACCCTTCTATGCCATGACGAAATGCTAAAAAAAATTGGGGGTTGCTTCCTCAATCTCTCTTTCTATATATTGGTCTCATCCTTTCCCTGAGTGTTGAGCGTCGGCCAGATCCCCTGGTAACTCCTCGCAGTGCTGTTTTCCTTAAACCAGAATGATCTATCTGCACCTCCACACTGTTCATTTGCTCCAAAAGGGCCCTTACAAAACCTAACTTGTCATACATCAATTTGCCACCAAGTGGTGCAAAGCCAGCCAATCTGTCTGTCTGCTCAATTCCCAATAAACTGTCATTACCTGGAGAGAATATCCAAAGGATGCTAACTACCTGGGACCTCTGAATTGATGCTTGCCACTCTGCACAAAGCATACCTGTTTTCACCTTTCTCAACATGCTCTGTTACTGGTATAATTAAAACTGGAACTCTATGCTTGCTGCTGAAGATGGGGGACTGAGCACTCATGGGAGTGTCCCGAGTGATGTGATATGTATTTAACATTCCTTTTATATATCTTTTGCGTTATTATTATATACTCCAATTGGTGTTTTTTTTTTCTGATAACATGGTCGCAAATCGATGCTTGCCTCTTTCTGATGCTTGTAATAAGTTGTCTTTGGGCCTCTTAGAATTCCATGAGAGAATAACAATGAGATGGACTTGGACGACGCTTGTAGGACTGCACCCTGAAGACACTAAACGTCATTGAGACTGACTGTTGCTGATCTTCACTACAAGGATGGTACCAGGTGATGAAGCTTTGTAGACAAAACAGACTTATGTTGCCAGAAAACAGGCTGAACTCAATTAACCAAATCAACTTCAATAATTCTAGAAGGCTTCTTTTCTTCTTCTTTTTTTGACTGTCCACCTTCCATGTCAGCAGTCATATCTATCCATGACCTTGTGTCTTGTGTACTTTTGAACATTACTGACAAAAGTGGTCTCCATGCCCAAATGGTAAGATGTCCAGAATCCTCCATCTCTCTCTCTCTGTCTTTTTCCCCTTTAACTTTCTCACTGTCACGATGTATTCCAGTTTTATTTTTCTTGTCACATGACTAAAGAATTTAGATTTTCTGTGCCCTTCTGCTGTGGGTAATCATTTTCCTCATTGAGTTCATTGCTTTCAAATCATATGTATTACTCTTTGTATTTCTCCACATTGTTCTTATGATTTCTCTCTAAAACCACATCTCTGCAGCTTCCACATAGTATTTGACCAAAAGGCTAACTGTTCACAATTCAGTTGCCAGTATCAGGATTGCCTCTACAAATCTCCTCCTCAAACTAAGTGACACAGAGAGATTTCAGAAAATATTCTTTATTCTTCTTAAAATATGCTTCCTGTGGGTTCCGAGGTCCGCTTGTGGGGGAAACGGGAACAGATTCACTGCCTCCCAAACAAGCATGTCATAAGAGTTGACTAACTGGGAACTTGCTTTAAAGTCGTAGTAAATATGCTTTAGAGACAAGGTACCAACAGTCTGCATAGAGAGAAACCAGATCTATAAAACGGATGTGCACGCAACCCTCAGATTCTAGAAGACTAAAATCCAGAGGTGGAGGAACAACAATAGCTTTCCGAAGGAGTTTACAGCCGGTGACGGAAAAAGAAAAAGATATTCTTCATTTCGTGAAATGTTGCATGAGCTTCAACTATTCTACATCTTCCATCACCGTTATCAGTACCCAAATACTTTAACGAAGCAAGGCCCTATAAATATATTATCAATGGGTCTCCTCTGTGGCGTTTCCGTCACTCCACACAAATCTGTCTAATTCTAAATACAGTGCTTTGGTTTTTAATCGCCCCAAACAAACAGATCAATATTTCAGGCTGCATGCAGTCGTGGGACTTTGGCTGCATGCAGTCGTGGGACTTTGGCTGCATGCAGTCGTGGGACTTTGGCTGCATGCAGTCGTGGGTCTTTGGCTGCATGCAGTTGTGGGACTTTGGCTGCTTTCAGTCGTGGGACTTTGGCTGCATGCAGACGTGGGTCTTTGGCTGCATTCAGTCGTGGGACTTTGGCTGCATTCCGTCATGGGACTTTGGCTGCATTCAGTCGTTGGACTTTGGCTGCATTCAGTCGTTCGACTTTGGCTGCATGCAGTCGTGGGACTTTGGCTGCATGCAGTCGTGGGACTTTGGCTGCATTTAGTCGTTCGACTTTGGCTGCATTCAGTCGTTCTTTGGCTGCATGCAGTCGTGGGACTTTGGCTGCATGCAGTCGTGGGACTTTGGCTGCATGCAGTCGTGGGACTTTGGCTGCATGCAGTAGTGGGTCTTTGGCTGCATGCAGTCGTGGGACTTTGGCTGCATGCAGTAGTGGGTCTTTGGCTGCATGCAGTCGTGGGACTTTAGCTGCATGCAGTCGTGAGATCAAGACTGCACTCTCTCGTGGGACTTAGGTAGGTTGGAGTTAGGTCCAGTTCTAGATGTTCTGGGGTAGTTACAAGCACCACAAAGCTGGGAAACCTGATCTTACCAGTCTATAAAATATTGGACTGTCCCTGTGACGTCATCTGGGGGTGACTTATTACGAAAGAAACCTAAATACTTGTCTACCAGCACAAACTACACTGCAAGGACAGATAACTGACAGGTACTCCCGCGCAGATAACTGACAGGTAAACACCCCCCCCCCCCCCGCCCCCATTTCCCCCTGACGTATTCCCTGCAGGTATAGCACGGTATTGAAGACACCACATTCCAGGTGACGTCACAGGTCTCCGTGTTCCCAAAACGTCATGTGAAACGCCCCTATGAATAAACCGACAATGAAAGGCGCAAGCCGTATCACCAACGGTAACAGACGAGTGTGTATGGAATATAATACCGCAGGCCAATTTAAAGGTACCTAGAGGTAGACACATGTCGTCGCAGTCAAGTCACAGCAAGAGCGCCGACACACAGAAAACACGGAATGAAAAGGGTGGGGGGGGGGAGTGTCAGACCCTTATTTTCCTAGGGGTCGCGCCTGAAGAGGCATAAGGCTTGTTTCATTACTTAATAATAGTAATCTGCTTAATGGCAAACAGAGGTAAGAAACGCATAAACAAAAGCTTAAAAAGAGAAGTTCTAGACGCGTGGATGAAAAAAAAAGGGATGGGGGTGGTGGTGAAGGCTGTGGCAATTACACAATTGCTGGGGAATCGCCTAAATGTGTTGGGGGGGGGGGGGGGGGGGTGAATACGCCTAAGCCCCCGTGTCCCGGTGCCTGCGGACGACAGGGATTTTTGCTTTAAAATCATTCATGCGGGACACATCTATACTTATATGGCACTAAAAAACGACAAGCATTCACTAACTGGTGCCTGCGCCGAACAGAGGGAATTTAAACTGTATAACAGAATCGCTAATGTTGAGCTTCGAGAGAGAACACTGGACCAAGAGGTGAAAAAAAAAGACGCTGGCGTCAGATAGCACACATGTGAGTAAAAGCTGAGAATAATATAACTAGAACGTCTTTGTACTGGAATCGACAGGGACACTGAAATAAAGGCAGACCCAAAAACACATAGAGAAGGTAGCTGCAGAGTGAAGTTAAAAAATAAAGACGCGAAGGACAGGAGGTGAGCTGCATGCAAAAGCGAAGGACAGGGGATGAGCTGCATGCAAAAGCGAATGACAGGGGATGAGCTGCATGCAAAAGCGAAGGACAGGGGATGAGCTGCATGTAAAAGCGAAGGACAGGAGGTGAGCTGCATGTAAAAGCGAAGGACAGGGGATGAGCTGCATGTAAAAGCGAAGGACAGGGGATGAGCTGCATGTAAAAGCGAAGGACAGGAGGTGAGCTGCATGTAAAAGCGAAGGACAGGAGGTGAGCTGCATGCAAAAAGCGAAGGACAGGGGATGAGCTGCATGTAAAAGCGAAGGACAGGAGGTGAGCTGCATGTAAAAGCGAAGGACAGGAGGTGAGCTGCATGTAAAAGCGAAGGACAGGGGATGAGCTGCATGTAAAAGCGAAGGACAGGAGGTGAGCTGCATGTAAAAGCGAAGGACAGGAGGTGAGCTGCATGTAAAAGCGAAGGACAGGAGGTGAGCTGCATGTAAAAGCGAAGGACAGGGGATGAGCTGCATGTAAAAGCGAAGGACAGGGGATGAGCTGCATGTAAAAGCGAAGGACAGGAGGTGAGCTGCATGTAAAAAAAAGCGAAGGACAGGGGATGAGCTGCATGTAAAAGCGAAGGACAGGAGGTGAGCTGCATGTAAAAGCGAAGGACAGGAGGTGAGCTGCATGTAAAAGCGAAGGACAGGGAGTGAGCTGCATGTAAAAGCGAAGGACAGGGAGTGAGCTGCATGCAAAAGCGAAGGACAGGGAGTGAGCTGCATGCAAAAGCGAAGGACAGGGGATAAGCTGCATGCAAAAGCGAAGGACAGGGGATGAGCATGTAAAAGCGAAGGACAGGGGATGAGCTGCATGCAAAAGCGAAGGACAGGGAGTGAGCTGCATGCAAAAGCGAAGGACAGGGGATGAGCTGCATGCAAAAGCGAAGGACAGGGAGTGAGCTGCATGCAAAAGCGAAACAGGGGATGAGCTGCATGTAAAAGCGAAGGACAGGGGATGTGCATGCAAAAGCGAAGGACAGGGAGTGAGCTGCATGCAAAAGCGAAGGACAGGGGATGAGCTGCATGCAAAAGCGAAGGACAGGGGATGAGCTGCATGTAAAAGCGAAGGACAGGGGATGAGCTGCATGCAAAAGCGAAGGACAGGGAGTGAGCTGCATGCAAAAGCGAAGGACAGGGGATGAGCTGCATGCAAAAGCGAAGGACAGGAGCACTTGTTGTGAGCTGGCTAAGGGCCTATGATTCATGTGGGGGATAGAAGGCAGAATAAGACGTGCCAAGCGTTTCGTTAACTATCCTGATTATCGGAATATGAACTAAATTCATGCTGGTTCCGTCACGTTCAGTGTCACGTCAGCCAATACGACACACGCTCATGTACGATAGTGTATGCGCGTGTGTGAGCAATGGGGAGATATAAAAAACAAGCGGCGTGTCTGTGTGTGAGGGGAGGGGGGGGGGTGTGGTTTGGAGAACAGCAATAATTAAATCTGACATTTAGCAAGGCAGCTGAAAGTATACCTATCTCTCCTAGGGTGGCGAGCTGGGAGATGGATTGGCGACTGGTAAAGGCAGGCACAGAGGCAAGTACGACGGCGGGTACACAGGCAGGCAGACAGGTACCAAGGCAGGCAGACAGGTATCAAGGCAGGCAGATAGGTATCAAGACAGGTAGACAGGTCCAAGACAGGCAGACAGGTACCAAGGCAGGCAGGCAGGTATCAAGGCAGGCAGGCAGGTATACGGACAGGCAAGCAATTATACAGGCAGGCATATACGCAGACGATGGCGGCAAACGAGATGCATGGGTGTATGGCTGATTATTGAGCCGGCTGACATAGCGACAAACAATATTCAGCCAGAGGAGAATGGCAGTGCGAGGAGTTACAAGGGGATCTGGCCGACATTCAACACTAAGGGGAGGGGCGAGACGGATATACAATCAAGCTGTTACTGGTACCATCGGAATTTTAACTCTTCGCTTGCTGCTGAAGATGGGGGACGGGGCGCTTATGAGAGTGTCCCGAGTGCTGTGATGTCGATTCTTAATTCAACTTTCAACATACAGCCAGACTGGTACACACACACAAACATACATAGAAAGAGACATGCACACATGAGAGAGAGAGAGAGAGAGAGAGAGTGATTGAGAGAGAGAGAGAGAGAGAGAGAGTTGGGGTGGGGTCGGCGAAAGAGATAAGGAGATGTAATACCAGTTGTTTAGCAGGTCCACAGAGGCAAACAACAGAAAAACAGATGGACGGGCAGAAAGACACACGTGCTTACAAAAAAGGCAGAGAAAGAAATCCATAGATGCACGTTCAATAATTTGATAAGCCGACAAAACAGACAGACAAGAACTGACGCACAGATAGACAGTCGGAGAGAACAATGGTTTCAATGGATGAGTTGGTTGGTCGTTAAAAAGTCGACGAACATACATAGAAACATACAGACACTGGCTAAACCAACTAGGTACTCACGAAAGAAATCCTTCTTGCCGATGTTCTTGGCACACAAAACTGAGGAACAAAGAAGAGAACAATTAGTCAATGTTAAAACAGTTGACTACAGCATAACTTTCTCTGTCCACGGGGCAATGTTTCCATCAGATGGGCGGAACTGTAGATGCAAGCCTTCAACCGACTCATACCATACACTTTGTAAACTAGGAGAAGAAAGAGAAGCAGGAGGAAGCAGAACAGTAGTAGTGGTAGTAGTCTTCTTCTTCTTTTTCTTCGATCCTTCTGTCAGAAAACTTATATCAGGAGGCCTGTAGCCTTTATGAAAGCTATCGTGCAATCCATATCCTCTCGTGTACCATACAGTTTTGTCTTCAGTGTGGTTGGAACAGGCCAGATTGCGTCTCTGTTGTCAGCATACAGTTGACAGTGTTGGATGGAGCACATGCTCAGCATTTTCGGGTGCCAAGCTGCAGGGACACGTCTACGTATTTCCTACACTGAAAAGCAGAACCAACCCCAACAGCCCCTGGCTGTGGTTTTTCTAGGCACATTTACGTTCAGTACTTTGCCACTGTTTCTGGACGGTCGGCTTTCTTGATACCACTGTCGAAACTAATGAATGGACACATGGCCCGCAGCTGGGATCGAACCAAGCATCCCGGCATTACGAAGCGTTCGCATCGACTTAGCTACAGAGCCGACTGGTAGTAGTAGTGGCAGTCGTAAATGGCGGTTTTGGTGGTAGTTGTAGTAAAATGAAGGTGGTAGTGGTAGAGATAGAGGTAGTAAATAACGGTGGTAGTAGTGGTAGAGGTAGTAAATACGGTGGTAGAGGTAGTAAATTACGGTGGTAGTGGTAGAGGTAGTAAATAACGGTGGTAGTGGTAGAGGGTAGAGGTAGTGGTAAGGTAGTAAATACGGTGGTTGAGGGTAGTAAATACGGTTACGGTAAATAGGTGGTGGTAGAGGTAGTAAATACGGTGGTAGTGGTAGAGGTAGTAAATACGGTGGTAGTGGTAGAGGTAGTAAATACGGTGGTAGTGGTAGATGTAGTAAATTACGGTGGTAGTGGTAGAGGTAGTAAATACGGTGGTAGTGGTAGAGGTAGTAAATAACGGTGGTTGTGGTAGAGGTAGTAAATACGGTGGTAGTGGTAGAGGTAGTAAATAACGGTGGTGGTGGTAGAGGTAGTAAATAACGGTGGCTATGGTAGTGGTAGAGGTAGTAAATAACGGTGGCGGTGGTGGTAGAGGTAGTAAATAACGGTGGTGGTGGTGGTAGAGGTAGTAAATAACGGTGGTTGTGGTAGTGGTAGAGGTAGTAAATAACGGTGGTTGTGGTAGTGGTAGAGGTAGTAAATAACGGTGGTGGTGGTGGTAGCAGTAATAGTAAATAACGGTGCTGGTGGTGGTAGCAGCAGTAGTAAAGAGAGGTGGTGGCTGTAGTAGTATAGCTGTTGTTTTCTAAATATTTCTTCCTGGTTCTGTGAACCTTTATCGTAATTATCTCTATCTTAAAAGTACACGTTCTACCAAGGAAGCGGAGAAGGCTGTTCGTCCACCTGTTACACCTGTCCCGTGTTGCTCTGATCCATAAAGATATCTTATCCAAGGTCCCGACGTCTGACACGTTCTACTTGACGTGTTACTGATTTACTGACCCCACGTTTTGTTTTCAATCGATGAATTAGCACAATAATACACTTGCTTAGCCATGCCGCGGTGAAGCGACTAGACGCTCGCCTGCAGATCCCAAGGTCGTGGGTTCATATCTGCATGCAGCCAGGCTGCTTCCCCCCCCCCCCCCCAGGTCGACCTAGTTTTAAAAGGGTACCAGGTGAAGTCATGGGAAGTAAAAGCGGCCGGCGTGATGCTGACCACATCACCAAACTGATTTATAAAAAATATGAGGTTTGCCTCATAGCCTGATTCGCCATGTGTAAAGGGACCTTCACTTACGTTACTTTCTCAGCTGCTGTCGTAGCGAAGTGGCCACAACAGGGCTTCCAAAACTGTTCATGTTGGTTACACTTTTTAGGACAACCACAATTTCTCGACACAACAGACGTTATATAAACCCCTTTAAAAAAAAGATAGAGGTTACACAAATCCCCTACAACAGATACGGACACAGACATAGCTTAACTACGGCCGTAAATGCATGGATCTATGTAAAGATGGTCGTGGCTTAACATTGGCGGGACAAGTGGCGCCAACAAACTGATGTGTCGCAGCACCAGTTTTAGAAGCTCTGGGCTAGACGCTCGCCTGTCAGGCCCGCATCAAGACACATCTCCCCCTGCCCTTGCCCTCATAAACTGACCTTGGCTCCCAGGTCAACCAAACCTCACGTGATACAGGATCTCCCTGACTTAACCACCGAGTTCAGGTCTGACTAACAGGTATTAAGTCAAATTTATATTTGTCAACACAATTTTCATTTAAAGGATTATAACAATTTTAACAAATACAACAATTCAGTTAGAGTGAGCCTGACTTTTCCCAGAACTTTGGCTCCCTGGTCGACCCAGCCTTGAATGGGTACCAGACACATTCCTGGGAAGTAAAGGCGGCCGGCGTGATGCTAACCACATCACACACCAAGGGCCGTTCGGTCTATAAAATATATGGTCTAGTCCTATGTTATAGACAATTGTTTGTGGGTGGTCGTAAGTACGGATGTATGTAACTAGGTCCTAAGTTGATATGATGGTGTACCAGGTAAAGAGCTGGAAAGTAAATGCGGTCGCTATGATGTGACCACGGGTAGTAACGGTTCTACTTCTCTATACAGCTGTCGGAGGTTCAAAACATAAATGTGTTGTGTGTGTTTTTTTAAATATATATATATATATATATTTATTAGTTTTGTCTATTCGTACAAAATCTCACATGGTACTTTTTTTTTTTTTTATCTACTGTTTAATAGGTGATTTATAAGTCTAGTTATATTCCCAGTAAATAAAACTAATACTCTTTAAACGCAGTAGGCAGATCTCAGGTCTGACAAGTTTGCATTCAGGTGCAAATTTAAAAAAACAGTGGAGGATAGGCGTCGCAATACAGCCTTCGATAGATCTCGTCTGAAAACCACTGGCGAAGACCTTACACAAATCTGCCGGTATCTAGCAGACAACAAAATGGAAACACACTGGAAGAGCACTGACAGACAGCAGGTCAGCGACAGTATTAGCACTGGCAAGTGTAACCACATCAGCCTGACCGGGAAACCCCACAAACATTGGCAGCAGAAACGAAGAGATTCGCAAACAAAAGGAACGTGACCATCTCTAATCAATCTGTAGTTAGTAAACCCCAGCCATGTGACAACTGGCCAGCCAGGAACTACTGAGTGTTTCTCTCTATCAAACAAAAGCAGCACTCGGCTACACGACTATGTACACCGTGTCTTCATGGATGTTTTAAGCCGATGTCCAGGGAGCTTGTAATTGAAAAAATGCGTTGATTCTCGTCATCATCATCAAGAGGCCATTTTGCACTGAAGATCGGTCATACTAAGTCTTATAAAGATTGGCTATAACTTATCTCCTCTTCTTCTCCTTCTTCGCGTTCACCGGCAGTAAACTCCTGCGGAAAGTTAAGATTATTCGTCCACTGCTGTCTGGACTTTTAGCCTCCTTCAAAATTTGAATTTTGCGTGCACATCCGTTTTACAGATCTGGCTTTTCTGTGTGCATTCTGTTGGTTCCTCGTCTCTCATGAAGAAGCACTCTGACTTCAAAAGAAAACCCCTAATGTTGATGGTACCTTTGAGTGTCGAGTGCTGGCCAGATCACCCTTGCCACTCCCAACTGCACCGTTCTCTCCAGACCATGATGATATATTTCAGTATTGTTCCCAAAACGTCTTGACCACATCCACCTTGTCATCAATTCATCATCTAATAGTGCAGAACAGCCAATGTGTCTGACTGTTCGTTTCCCATCATACCAGCAACCCTGGACAACAGATCATAACATGTTAACTACTCGCGACCTCAGAACCGATTCTTGCCGCTCTGCATGAAGCATGTCTGCTTCCACCTACTCATTGCTGAAAGTCTGCATCGGGGCGTTCACAAAGTTGCCGCTCAAAAACTCTAACCGTCTCAAAAAGTTCAAGAATTGTCTTTCTCTGCGTCAGCGATAAAGTGCCAGTATTTAACGTACAGTACTAATAATAATAATCCATTAGCCAGCATCAAAACAAACTGTCCACAGTTAACAGTCTTTGCCGTACTGAGCCGGAACAACTAAAGAAAGGACAAACCTTTTGACAAACAAACCGAACGACTGCCGACCGACAGTTTTACTGAAGAACGATATTGACCAACCAACCAAACAACAACTAATAAACCGATCTCCAGTGTCTTCTTATCGGCGTCTGTGGCTTAGGCATTGCGAACGCGCTTCGTAATGCTGATGTGCCAGGTTCGATCCCAGCTGCGGACGATTTGTCTTGCGTTAGTTTCGACAGGGGTACCGGGAGCTGACCGTACAGAAAGCAACGGCACACTAGTACAAGTAAACATGCTGGGGTTGTGTTCTGCAACGTCATATAAAGCATACACAGCTCACTTCTAATCTCTTCTTACAAACAAAAGCCAGTGGAAACAGTCAAGACTTGTGTAGCCATAATCACACGGAGCCGGGTCGTGCAGACAGTGGCAAGCAGGTGCCACGAGGTGGACATTCAGCAATAAATTCAGGATAATGCTCGCTCTGACGGACACATGTTTAACCCCACCAGAACCTCACCAAGCGATAAACACCTGGTGACACAGAGTGCCACCATTCAAATGAGGATCGCCCGGGGACAGGTCCCAGAAACCCCGTTCAATCCATACGCTGGGTTATATTAGAGCCCCTGACAACAGCCAGGGTGGGGTTTCAAAATAACCACCCCCCCCCCCCCACAACAACAAAAATAGCATTCCACATTAGGACAGTTTTCATGCTTGCCCGGGCGATGTGATTATTTATACATATGGTTCAGTGTCAATGGCGGCATCGATCCAGAGTTTGCTACTCGAAACGCAGCTGCTGGAAGGCTATTCCA